CTTCATCGGAGCTAGTTTGATGATACAGTGATGGCATAGATGCTCACTGATTTCATCTGTGCAGAGATGAAGGGCCGCCATGTGATTGGGGATTGTCTGAAATTTAACAGAAGGGTGAGATTCATATATGAATCATGGACGAACAGGACAAATCCAACTTACAAAAGCGATCTTCGCGTTTTCATAGTACCCGCTGCCACCGAATCTACTCTTCTGATCACCAACTGCATAAGAGATGGGAACGATCCCTTTGATCTGCGTTTCCTCCGATTCTAAGGCGCTCATCAAAATGGTATATCGCATGCGTAGTTCATTTTGGAGCGTCATGTTATCGTCTCTCAGCCCTGGAAGATTAAGAATAATCTGTCTACCCGATCGGTCTTTTCCCGCAAGTTGAACCCACCCAGTCTTCAGGCACGCAATATCACCCTCATCGAGATCATCTAATGTGATATCTTTCACTAGTTTTCCTCTCCCAAACAATTGATGCTTCATTTCAAAGAACTTGAGCATCTGATTTGCCGCAGCCTTTGAGTTGTAGCGAGCGCCTCTGAGAAACATCACTCGAAATGCTCTTGCTATGACGTAATCAGGGTCCACGTTTTCAGCCATCTCATAAACGCTTCCGTTCTTGATGTTGCTAAGATGGCTTTCTAGCTCTTGAAGTGAAGCTTCAATGAAGGTTGCTTCCTCGGCAATCGCTCCCGCAACGCCGTGAAGTATATCCTGCTGTTCTTGCCGCTCTTTAAAAGAGAGCCCCTTCAATGCAAGAGACAGTAGATCGTCGATTTCTTTTGTTTTTTGACGGTCTTCAGTCGTCAAGCCATCATCTCCTTGTGGCAGCTTTCGATGACCAGGAGAGACTGTCCTTTCATTGCCAATGCAAAAACATGTTGGATTGTCAAAGGATTGACGGAAGGAACTCATCTTATTGTATGTTTTATCTATGTGACTTGCCACTGCTGCGTACTAATACGTGTTGCCTTTTCCGAGCATATACTGCACGTCCGCACTTGGGACTATAAATAAAAATTATGATAAAAAAGATGTATTTTATAATAATTTCCAAAATTCTAACGTGTGTTTCTCCGGAAAACAAGCACATTATATTTACCAAAAGACACCGGCACGGTCAGTCTGACCTCCACCTCCAACACAACGACTACACCCGGCTTGCTCGCAGAAATACTGCTCGCAGAAACAGCGAAGACAAAATATTACACACATCACACATCACCACATAAAAAACATCACCACCAGAACGCACTGTTGCTGTCCTTTTGTTTTGTGTTGTTCGAACCCAACCCGTGAACAAGCTGAATCTTCCTTCTTCTTTCATTAGTACTAGCCAGTGGCACTTCCAATTCCTCAGAGACGGGTTCTTCCTTCATCCGCTTCTGCATACTGAGCTTTTTACATATCTGTTCCTCAACTTTCATTGCGCAGAGTGACAAACAGTATGTAGCATAAAAGCTTCATTGTGTCGTGCCAAGTCCTTGCTTTAACAGGTTGGAGATTTGGTGCATTGGAGTAATGAAGATGGCTGGACCGTCTACAGGTATGGATGCTACTACTGCTGCTGCTACCGCCATGAGGAAAGGAAGGGCAAGACAAGCAATGCGACCAGGACAGCAACAACATCACATTGCTACAACCCACTCAACAAACTTTCCATCAGTACTAGCCAGTGGCACTTCCAATCTCCTCAGAGACAGGTTCCTCCATCCGCTTCTGCATACTGAGCTTTTTACATATCTGTTCCTCAACTTTCATTGCGCAGAGTGACAAACAGTATGTAGCATAAAAGCTTCATTGTGTCGTGCCAAGTCCTCGCTTTAACAGGTTGGAGATTTGGTGCATTGGAGTAATGAAGATGACTGGACCGTCTACAGGTATGGATGCTGCTGTGCCACTGTCATGAAGAAAAGGAGGGCTAGGGTTTGACTATGACTGGTGATATCTCAGTTTCTAGCGGCCCCACACTTTCCTACACTAGTTACAACTGGGACAATGATACTGCCACTAGATTTTCAATTCAAGCCATGTTGTCCACCATGTTGGGAGCCCGCACTCTGGGAATGGTCAAAAGTTGGTCTTGTCAGACGGTATTGTCAGACCGGGACTTCATTTGTAAGGATATGCTGAGTTGCCTCCACCATGGCTCATTGGCTTCCTTCAGCCACCTTCGTCCCTTGAATAGGTCATCCTCCATTCAACCTATGTTTTGTGTGCGTATGCTGACACCAACAATGTTTTGCCTTAAATCGTCATCACCTGGATCTGCTACTACTATTGATACAGCAGTGTATGTAGTGTCTGCTTTATTTGACGCAAAACGATACTCGGCTCTGCATCATCACCACCACACAGATGATTCAGAGATGGTTCAATAGTCTTGTTCGAATGGCTCCTCATTGGCTTCCATCATATTAGATATAGTATATGTACAGTCAAATCGTATCTAGTAGAGCCAACAGCTCTTTTACTTTGTTTTCAGGTGTTTTTAAAAAGCTTCGATTCCGTTACCGACTTTTGAGTACAAATAGTAACTATCGTATCATACAGTATAAAATACAAGCAGTATTTGAACTTGTGAAAATTCGTGAATTATTTGATGGGTCTGTCCTTCCACTCCGATTTGGTTCACCAGATGTGGGAGGTGGAGGTCAGACTGACCGTGCCGGTGTCTTTTGGTAAATATAATGTGCTTGTTTA